TGTGTCTGCTATGAATGCAGGGAAGTGAAATTACACACAGTGAAGCCTGCAGACATGCACCAACATGACAGCCGTCACAGAGCTCAGTCAGTGAGATAAATCATAAAAACATCAAAAGACTTTGAAGTGGTATTTAAGTGTTTAAAATTAATTCTCTAATACAGAACATCTTGATTCTCCAAAAACATTTTACGTACGATGACATCATGTGAAAACTTCTAAAAGGCGGTTCTTCTGCTCAGGGTTGCCAAAACAAGCCAAATGGCCGATCAAAACCAGCCCAAAAACCAGCCCAACGCTGGAAATCAAAATAAGCCCATAAAACCTCAGTCAAGGCTGAAAACGTCCGTGTGAGTGCATGTGTATTTGGCTGTGGGACATGTTCCATGTGTACCTGTTTGTCAATTTACATCCAAAAACTTGAAAAATGAATATAAAAAATTAGTCCACTCAACCCATGGACAAAATAAACTAACAGTGGCACCAAATCTCAGACCTGGCAACCCTGCATCTGCTGCTGGTAAATTGTCATTAAATGGGATTAACCTGAGTTTGCATGAGTTTCTCAACAAGCTACAGCTTCAGGCAGACATTTACGCACGTTTTTTGAGTTTGAAGTCACGTTGTTTTTGTTTTCAACGACATTAATTAGCAGGAGTAAAGATTTTGGACAGCTAAAGATATAATATGCAGCTCGGACTGCAGCCCCCCGCAGCTCAACACAGATGACGAGTGTCTCAGAAACACAGAAATCTGTCTGTATCACCAGATGTTGGGTTGAGGGTAAGGCCACTCTTACATGCTGAACAAAGACAATCCTGCCTTTAATCAGCAGAGCACAGACCTGTTGATTACACTGACTGTTGTCAGGCATCACAGAGAAGTGAATTATATCTAATGTGTAACGCTGAGATGTGTGATCAGATACTCAGTGGAGCTCGGCAGTAGCTGTGCTCTGTCTCTGACCTTTGTCCCCTTTCCTGCCGGCTGCCTTTGATGTTGGTGATACAGGAATGTGGAGGAGTGCATGAGTTTTTTTGCATGAACTTTGTGTATACTTTACATTACTGCCCCTCCTCTCAGAGGCAAATTGTTTGGTTTTGTTTCCTCAGACAGACACTGTTTTATCATCTTTACTCTTCAAAGAGGAAACACATACCACAGAATCTGTTCTTGGATTGAAAATGGTCTTGAGATGAAGCTTTAGGCTCATTGCAGTGTTCAATACAAGGTCTCAACATTTCAAATCTTTCTGTCAGTGGAGTGCCGTGTCAAGTCCCTTCGTCCTAAGACGTGTTTATCAGAAAATATCATTAGTGCCGATTGTCAGCCAAATAAATATAACATTTTTAGCTGAATATTTTTGTAATATTTAAATTTTTCAATTTCATTAAAGGTGCAATTTGTAAACACAACATTCAAACTCAGCCCCTCCTCCAGGGGCTCATCGCCACCAGACACACCGATCAATGCAGGACGTAGTGTGTACGTTTACTGTTTGTACCTTAACAGCAAGCTAGCACAAGCTAACCGACGGTGGTTGTTACCTGCGTGTCCAACAGAAAGCAGACCAACTCCTCGTCCTCAGGTGAAAGCCAACCGAAGGTTCAGCCTCGTTTTGGAACGAGCTTTATCTGCTTGGCGCTTCTTACTATGATTATATATTTCTCTATTGTCATATTCGACGGACTGAATGCTGAATTGCATCTACTCCAAAATCACCTGCACACTGTCATTAGCTGAAGGAAACACACCAGCTCCTCGCCAGTTAGAGGACAGAGTCTCTGCAGACACAGTCACCAGCACACATGTATGGAGGAACATAAGTGAGGCTTTAGCAGCATTACTTCAGTATAAGCCTTTATTTTATTTTTAGGAAAAAGTTGCTGACTGTTTCTTCAAATGAAATCAATAGTTTTAATCAGCTATAGTCTAATAAAACAAATTAAGCTGCAGCCCTGTTGACGACCCTTTTGATCATTTGTTTGTTTCTCACACATTTTATAACTTTCAGACTTGGTTTAAGAAGTTCTCAGGCTGCTACATCTCTCTGTGTGCAGTGATGCTGTTTATAAATAGGTGATATAAGACTGGATGAACATGACCTGTAAGTCAGAGGCATGTAGCTCAAGTCCAGGATCATTAGGCCATATAGTTTAGCGGCTTGTGCAGTGGCCGCATGCCAGTCGGGGGTCGACACCGCCAGTACCAGTACCACCCATCTTCCACCATTATGATGCATTATGCAAATTAAAACAAGTGGTATGGCTTCATCACATATAAATTGGACTGCCTCTTTACTGAGTGCATCATACTGATCTTAAAGGACTTCATACGTTTCTCTCTTCTGTTTTTCATATTCATTAAAACAATGTTTGTCTGGTATCTCCGTGATGACGGCCATGAAAACCAGTAACCTCTCAGCTGACAAGCTGAACCAAGCCAGTCAGAATAATCAATAATAAGAGTGTGATCCCACTTTGCAGCATAAGCCGATTTCAGAAATGGAACTCCAGACTCCTGAAAATATCTAGAGCAGAATTTTAGGAGGACTGCTACTGAAATTCTGCTCTAGATATTTTCAGGAGATCTGATCTGGTTGTTCACATATGAACCTCACAGCTGGAGACTACCCCTGACAGGAGGGGGGGGGGGCTCCTGACTCAGACTGTCAGTCTAAATAATCCATAGAAAGAGTTTGCATCAGAGAAATCCCTTCATTGAGGAAATACTTTGAACCCTTATCTTTTGCCGCTGAACCCAGAGGCTCATGCAGATGACTTTCAGAACATGTCACTTTTGTGAACCCGCTGAACCATCACTCCAACTGAGCCTCTTCTTAACCTATAACTTGAATCATGGACTTTTTGTTTAGCTTTGTTAAAAAGCAACAGCATCTTAAGCGTTCAATCTGTCCATCTGCACACATGGTGGTTAAAGGCTGACTCATTTCACAGGAGAATAAGTTGTGTGAATACCAGACATTTAGTCATTCATTGAATGTACGACTACAAAGATGAAATTTTAACGTGCAGCAGCTCGGGGGTCATGACAGTATTCCTCTGAGGTAAAACACAGAAAGTTTGCTCAGCGTTAATGCGAGTGTTTGCACAGTGTCACTGACAGTGTTTGCACCATATGGCCCATAGCCACCCTCCAGGTGACCACGTTAGACTAAGAAACCAGAGAAGCCTTACATAACAGCCCAGCAGCCTGTCAGAGGGGCCGCATTCTTTCTGTCTCTGCACAGGCTGAGTGGCACGCTGACTCGCCCTCTGGCTGCACCAACCCCCCACCTCAAAAACTGTAAAGACCCAAATGGAGCGCTGAGTCGAGACCAGTCTTACAAATGGTTCATGAAAACAGATAATATGAAGTTCAATTAGCTTAGCGTTTAGTTTGACACCATGTTTTTATCATTTTAGTTTAAATTATAGACATGAAGTGGGATTGATTTTACAGCTCTCCTTTTTTTACATCCAAAACAATCAGAAACATCAGCTTTTGGTGACTTAACAAATGCTAAGTTTTACCAGAGCAATCTTCCCTTAAACACTTCCTCTAAAGCCATGTTAAGATTTTAGACTTTACTAGATAGTACAGCTGAAGAGAGACAGGAAATGTTGGGAGGGGACCAGGGGCGTGTCCAGACCTTTTTTGACCCGGGCGGCCCAACTAGGGGACGTACTTATGCAGGGGTGGAAGAAGTGCAATGTCAGCCCGAACTCACACAATCAAATATCAATAACTTCACCTCACTTTAAAGACACAAAAAGAAGATTTATGTTCAAAGTCAAAATTTAAAGTACTTCAAATGTCCATACAAACTCCTGCACATTCTCACTTGCCAGTTAATTCATTGCAAGTAAGACAGAGTGCATAAATCTGTCTTATTAAATAAATGTGCAAATTTATTTACAATTTAAAAACAAACAAACATAAATATGCTACACTGATATGAAAGGAAAACCTGTAACAGCCTTGGCAAAAAAAAAGACCAAATAATTGTTTTTTAAAGTCCCTCCTCTGACAGGGCAAATAGCCAATCACAGTTTGAGATTTTGTGCATGGTACCTGGGGTGGCCAATCACATTTAAAGGAGGGGCCCATGCCACTCTTTGCCACCCCTCTGGACACGCCCCTGGAGGAGAGAGTGGGGGATGACATGCAGCAAAGGGCCAGGGTCGGATACGAACCTGCGGCAGCTGCGAGGTAGACTTCAGAGAGAGATTTGTTTTATGTATCTGATGTATAACATGTGTTAAGTTTGGTCAATAAATGAAATAAACTCCACACTCTTCCAAAAAGGGAAGTAAGAAACAGGAAGTGAGACTATCTTTTTTTCAGAAGTCTAAAATAAGAAAGTGGTTAGAGAAGACTGTGTGTGGATCAAACAAACATACAACATATTGATCTTCAGGCCTCGCACAGCGTTAGGTACCGTCCTACTTTTTGCTAACCCTTCTGTTGGGGCGCCAACAGATCCGACCCAAACTGCTGGAGCTAGACACAGCGCAGTCTGTTGATTGATTAAAAGAATCGTCAAAATGTGCCATGTTTAAATTCAGTAGATTTCAACAGAGTAATTTCAAGGTTGTTTTGGACTTTCCGGGACTAAAGTCAGCTCTCGGCACCGCTACATGGACGACCCCTGAGGTGTCCATTGTTGTTGTCCTTGTTGTCCTTTCTTCTTCTTCATTGAATTCATTGGCGGGCTACATTGTGTTGCGCTGCTCTCATGTCACACTAATACCTAGCTGACGTGGCTTTCTCCATCCGGCTTAAACACCGCCTACCAAGTAAGGGTTTGTTTGGCTGTGGAAACGCAATCAAGATCAGAGTTTACCATGCCAAACCGTACTGAACCGTACTGAACCAAACAAGACTGCTTGGTGCTGGAGTTCCTTATGCTAAGCTAGGCGAAACAAATCCCCTTGCTAACACACTTGACAAAAACATATGTGTGTTAAAACAAAGAGCAATAAAATAATAAAACTTACAGCAATTTCCCTGCAGGCAGACATCGATATTCCAGTGCCTTCAATTTGTTTCAGTGCGTACTCTTTCTCATCATTCCTGTGGAGACAAACAGAGAAAATGGAACCAACATTACTGGATGGTATAAGGTTTCTAAACCAGCTGCTTTTAGAGCATCAACCTGAAGAACTCGGACTCCTGCAGGGGGCCTTTACGTAATCCAATCAGGACGTGTTTTTTTAACAGGAAGTAGAGGACATGAGGAAGCCTCGGAGAGTTTGACTGCACAGGAGGGAATCCCAGCCATTAGAGATATCCATATTGCACCCCAGAGCCCATCCATTCCCTGCAGGAGTGCTCTGTTGTTGCCTCCCTCACAGCTCTGCACAGCTTTGCTTTTTACCGTCTGGCATTAGGGGGAAAGTCACTTGCCCTTGTGTGTTACATTTGTTCATGAAACAGCTAATAAGTAAAATGTGAGCCTGCAGGGGAGAACACATTCAGCATCCAAATATTGATAATTAAGATAAGCAATGTTCCCGGGCGTGTGAAACACAACGTAAGAGGGAGCAGTGGAGAAAATGAGACACAAAAAGAAAAACACATCCTGCTTTAAAACAGTCCTAAGAGGCATGATTAAGATATAAACAACACAATCTGTGGACGGCATCCAATAACAACTTCATTCAGCGAGCAGCCCACACACGTCGGGCAGGTCCTCGTGGTGCTTAGATCAAACCCACTTGAGCCTGATTTGCATTGGAGATGGCCGTGGATTAACCGGGGGCTCTCGGGCACTCATCATCTCTGAGACTAATTGAGCTGCACAGATGATCAAAACAGCTCATAACGTTTAATCTTCTGTGAGCTACACTTCCTCGTCTGAATCCAGTCACATTCACATAATGAAATGTTTATCACCTTATCTGCTGTCGTAAAATAAACCAACAGGACAAGCTGTTACCCATTAGCCTGTCTCCGTAATGTCATTCATCACTTACTCTGTTCATGTAATTAACAGCTCCACCAGACGACCTCCAGGATTTAGCATTTTAGGATAGAGATACAGGAGTCATACTTTACACAATAAATAAACTAACTAACCAGCTCAGGCAGCTGTAGGCCCACAAAGAGCTACTCTGCAGCAGGAAATTATTGTTTTTTGTCAATGAAGTCTTTTGGTTTTGAAGAGCTGAGTCTGAAAAGTTCTTAGCTTCACTAAAAGGTCTGTCTGTTTTATAAAACTGTTGTTCTGTAAAAATAAATTAAAATCTAAAACTGGCAGGGACAATAACAAGCAGCAACCTCCAGTGATAAAAAATGAAGTGGATGCTGAAGTGAAAAAGTCCTGCAGTTCCTCGAGTGTCCACTAGAGGCTGGCTGCAGAAGCACAGTAAGTCACATACACACCAATTCAAAAGAGCCTGTTTTTACAGCAGACAATTTTACAGCCTGGTTCAAAAAACCAAACAGGTGTGATTAGCTTATGTCTCGATGGAGACACACTGTACAGGGGGTGAATGTTTTGATGACTCATCAGTTTTGATTTGATGAAGGATAAGAGTTATTCACAATAAGGCGTGTAGCTGACCTGATTGACAGGTGGGCGCGGTGTAACTGTTTATCAGGAGGCTTAAAACCCGCCTCAGCTCCAGCTCTCAGTCTGTCGTTAGGTTGACTGAAAGTTAGACTGAAACAGCATTTCCAACATGAAGACCGCCAACTATGGGACCTCAAAGCCCTCTGCAGGAACAGGGCCTTTGTGTGTACTTTCAGCAGATGTATTGCATTTTAATTGAATCTGCCGATCAATATCTCCAATAATCAATGTATTAATGGACTTTTAATATGTTTGAAATATGCATTGTCTTTGAGTCTAACTATAATCTGTTTGTAAGAAGAGAGTGATGTTGTTGTTTTTTCATCTGACAGTGTGAAGTAATAAAGGTTTTGGGCTGAACAGCCAATCAGAGAACTCTCCAACTCTCCCACCTCTGGAACAGCTCGATCAGCTGCTGATAGATCCATGACAGATGGACTCACCAGCAAACATAGAGCTGATGGTCACAAACAACACCCGGCAGACGACTGTTGGCTTGGTTTCTCAGGCCCATTGAATACCACTCTCTCTTTGGATGGCGAGTGCCAGGAATGCCAGCGCCGACCTCTGCTATTACATCACAGTGGTTTCTACACAGTCCCGTCATGTCGCTCTCAAATATAGGACACTGTGGTCTGAGGATGCATAGGGGACTGTCCCTCTGAAATACCACCGCCATAAACCTATGCTTAAAACTTCCCAGAGACACTTTGGTTAGCACGGAGTCTGAACGAAGTTTACTTTGGTGCTGAAGCCAAGATGAAGGACAGATTGAGGCTGTGGAGGAACAGCAACTCCTGCTTTCTACAAAGTTAAATTCATGTTTTTGTGAATGGAGTCTGGTTTGATTTCACCTAAACACAAAGCTACGTTTTGTAGGGATCTGTCCTGTAATGTTGTCAGACACTTGAGCCGTTTTCACACATGCATTCCAAGATATTTCTAGAGAATTTTAGGAGGACTACCCCTGAAATCCTCCTGATCTGGTTGTTCACACATGAACCTCACAGCAGACGACACAACAGGTAGAATATAAAACTATAAAAACACAAAATGTACAAAAGGAGGAGTTATGCGGTGAAAATGACATCCAGAATAAATCTCCCCACAGTGTGCAGTGAAAACTGAAATGATGAAGTCCAGTGTGCGTTAATGTAACGCATAAAATCAGTTTCAGCCTTCACATTACTCTGACTGTGGGGCTGGATGGGAGTCTGTGTTATGAGGGGGGTGGGGGAGGGTAGGGACATTATTAATGAACTAAAGAAGACAAAACAACATGCATCCACCTAAACTAGGCAACCATCTGCGGCGAAAATGATGCACATAGAGTTAGCTGACTCAGGCTTCATATGGAAAAAATACTCAGAGGTCTGGCAGGAAAAACGAAGGAAAAAGGAAGTCAGAGTGAAAAATTCTGCTGTTTGCGTTCACACATGAAGTTCATACCAAAAACTCCAGGTGTCTTTCAGGAGTTTTGTGCGAGTGTGAAAACAATCTGAGTCTGTCAGCAGTCATTACAGCCTATTCTGTGGCTGTCAGTTTACTGGAACACTATCAAAACAATTGTGACCTGTTGGTCATTTACACCACAAATATGTTTTAAAAAAAGGGGGTGTGGTGTCAAAGAATATTTTTCCAATGACAGAAACAACCCTCATGTTACAAACCTCAGTAATGCATCACAGTATTAAGGTGACAACAAACTGTCTGGGTAACCCTACACCGTCTGGTTCATTTAAAAGCATTTTTCTAAGCATGACAATCACAGGTGTAATCAACCTTAGCCAGGACTTCCCTCCATTTGTTGTAGTCAGAGTCCTCGTTAACGTCATTAGCTGCCTCTGTGCTTTACCTTCTTTAATCACGTCGGCATCAGAGCGTACATGAGTTCCTTCACTGTATTCAAAGGAAACTGACAAAATCTATGTGACACTTTGAGGATGATGTAGGCCTGCAGTGTTGGACAAGCTCTCAGGTATTACTGCTGTAGCTTGAGTCCCCGTGACCTGCCCGTGTTCACCTTTTGACCTGACATCACACCTCTATTATCCTGTGTTGTCGAGTTCTAAACGTCTAAACGATAAGACACCGGCCGGCAGTCTTGATTCAGCTTTTACAAGTCAGCGAGTCAACGAGGAATGGAGGAAAGGTTCAAACGAGACAGTATCATGCAGGGCCAAAGGTTCCTAGCCTTTTTTCCTTGGAGCCCCAACACTCACACACCCACCCACTTTAATCCAAGAAAATTTGGAAAATTAGGACCAAAATGAAAAAAAGAATGCATTAACACAAATTTTAATCGTTTTCATTGATTTGACTTATTAAAACATAATTGGTCATTGTTAAAAACATGATTTTATTTTATATGTGCAAAATGTATTTTGACAACCTCAGACAGAGCCTCATGCCCCCCCCCCCCCCCCCCCATTAAATCTCAGGCTCCCCCCTAGAGGGGCCCTGACCCCAAATTGGAACTATAATTATGTGTATAGCAAGATGAAGCTGTAATAACCACTTTATTCACAGCTGGATGTCAGAAACATCTGGCTCCATCCCTCCAACACATCAATAGACGTGTGCAAATTTTCATTAAATTATTCTTTAAGCTCATTTTAGCACAAAAGCACTAAATGAATAAATCATGGAGGGTGGGGGGGTTATCAGATTTGGCAAATACACAGTGCTAGTGATAAACTCATTATAGGCACAAACACTGATCCAGGATGAGGATTACACACACTAATATCTATAACATTAACCAACAGCCAAAAAGGCTGGATGTAAACACATTTACATGAAAGGAAGAAAATAAATAAAAGCAACTCTTCATGCTCTAGACTCACATGAGGGCACTTCTTGTTAGATAGAAAGGTAGATCATTTATTACGATTTAAAGACAGCCCAAAAGAGGTCAACAATTAACCCGTAGAATTTAAAATTAGACCTTTACCTGGAACATTGACATAACCCGTGCAGGACTACGAATAGAAACCTATGTATGATTTATAACACAGTGAAAATTAAACCTGTATAAATAAGAGTAGACATGCAGCTGGACATTTTGCACAAAATGTGCCACTCTTTCGGTGACTTTCAGCGAATCCTCGGCTGCTACAGGAGAGCAGATGATGCACACATGCCATACTCTGTCACATGCCTGACAGCTGCAGTGTTCAGAGCAAACAAATTACACTGAACGGTGAGTATTTAAAAAAGTTTTGCAGAGCATAGTGTTAAAGATGGGGGGGGGGGGCAGCTTGTCCGCGAAAAAAGGCGCTGAAATGTCACCATCGCGTTGAATGACGACACGTGTCCTCCATTCAAATACAGTTAGAGAAAGCTAAAGTCAGAAATTAAACATTAGCCCCGCTACTTTACTGTTGTTTTGGGGGGGCTAGGGGGTGAGACAGAGGGGGGGGGGGGAGGAAAGAGAGGAGGAGGAGGAGGAGTGGGGAGACCATGGTGAGTGAGTGAGTGCGTTACATGAAAACAAAAACACAGAGACACACGGGTTATCGCTTCAGGGAGATTCAAATCTAACGCCCCGGTCAACACACACACTGAGGTGTGTGATCGGAATCCTGCAGCCAGTTTCATGTCAGCAGCAACAATAAGGTTCACGGTGATCTTACCCGTCTTTGCGCTTAGCTTTATAAACGTGCCCGTAGGTGCCTCGACCCACTTTGCAACCTTCATATTCGAACAGATCTTCTACTCTCTCTCTCTCGGCCGCCAGCTTTGTTTTGAAGTCGTAATCCATTTCAACCCATAAATACGCCTTAATTTACAATAAAATAAAATATTAATTATTACATGCATTAATTAAATAATCTGCTCGTTTTATTCCCCCACCATTTCCTTGTTTGGGATTTTGGTCTGCTCCGCTTAATGTTCACTGGCTCGTTGACGTTTCTAATTGGCGCGTAAGGGCCGCTGGGTAATGTAGTTCTCTCGCGATTGGCGCCGCGGTTCGCCAGCCCGCAAGTGCAGACGTATGGGACTACAACCCGCGTTTGTCTCTGCGGTTTGTTGCTCTTTGCGTACTTATGAACGCTCTTCAAACATGCAGCCATCGGTGGTTGTGATTGTTATGGTGTACAAGAAGGGTTATTCCTTCAAAAACACACTTTAGAGTCTTTATAGAAATATTTAATTTTATTTATTTCCTGTCTGTTAAAGTTTCAAGTTTTAAAGCACAAATACCAAATAGTATCGATGTAAAACAATAAATACATTAAGTCCTTGTAAAATATGTACGTTTTAAAACATAAATGTACATCTTAAATATTCGGAAACATTTTTGTCTTTTATTTCAACCTAATGTTTATAATAATAATAATAATAATAAATCAATAGACTTTTAAAGCGCTTTTCTGAAAACTTAATCATACGACAGATATTATTATTTATTATTATTACTCATTATATCATTATTTATTATTATTTATAACCATTAATATTCTCTTATTGAAATATTATTTTCAGTATAATTTTTTTGTTAATGAATGTTTACTGTTATTATTATTGTTTCTTGGGCTGCTGCCTTTTGGCCAGGACCATAGACTTTGAATAATATTATATACATTGTTGAGGAATTATTGCTGGAAAAAAAAAAAGAATATACTTTGAATAGCAAAGAGCACATCCTTTGGTAAATAACCTTAAGCACTATTATTGCATTTCTGTTGTTTTAAGGTTTTCCCATAGACTAATATACAATACTTATATACAGTCTATGGCCAGGACACTTGTCGATGTCGATTTTTAGATTTGTTTTAACGAGTTTGTTTCCGGGTTGATAAAGGCTAAATACATTTTAAATAAAATACTTGTATTAGTAGTATTGTATTAGTAATGAAAAAAGTATTTACATAAGTATTAGTAGTAATAGTGATAATTGTTGTATTGTTGAAACTATCTAAAAGCGGATGCAACACCCATGGAATTATTTTCTTTTCTTTGCTATTTGAAAGTTCTTATGGGCTTGTTTAGTAACTATACAACTTTATAATGAGTAGAAATGCAGTCTGTCAGGCATCATTAATTGCATAAATTTATGCTGTATGTTGTCCCCCTTTACATACTACAATTCAAATAAGTAGTGTGTGTTAGGGTGGAGCGCAAACATAAAATAATGCATCAAATAATGCAACAGTTATGTGTGAATTAATTAAAAACACAATTGTGTGAACAGGAGAAAAACATACGTCCAAAAAATTTAGTTTACTCACAAATAGATAAAATAGTCCTACATTTAAAAAAAAAAAGGATATAAGTCCCGTGATGTTGTTTAACTGTAAGGTCTCCCTGTGCTGGTTAATGTTTTTTTTTAATCAGAGCGACGGTACGCAGTGACAGGGCTGTGGCAAAATGAAACGTCACGTGTTCAACCCTCTGTTTTTACAATGACTGACAGATGAATGAGCCAATGACGTGTTACAAGCCACAGCCCTACCGTCTGATTGGCTACGGGAATTAGTGACGTAGCGTGCTGCTGACTATAAATTCACCGCGCCATCTCCATTCAGTGGTCTACACAGTATGGCCGGCGATATTAGCTAGCACTCGCTAACTGTATTCTCTGCAAAAGGGAAGACGGCAACTAAAGAAAATCAACACCAGGATTGCTTAAAGGACTGTACCTCAATAAATTATAACCCGATCGAGGAAGGATTAATTAAGCTGTAACACGTTACGACCGACGTTTGATACTTTTTTTGTTTGGGTGTCTGTTGTCTCATGATGGAAGATAACGGTGCACATTTCTTCGAGGGGACCGAGAAGCTGTTGGAGGTGTGGTTCTCCCGGCAGGATGAGACCAAAGGAACCGGGGACCTCCGTACCATCCCGAGGTGTGTGTCCTTTCAGTGTGTCAGGGTGTCGTGTCAGGGAGAGAGGGGCTTAAACTGACTCGACCCCCACAGTTAATGTGTGTAATGTAACTGGCCAAACGAGATTAAAAACCTGGTTGTCATGGCGACTTTTTTCCCTCTCCGTAGTTACGAGTTTATATTCAGTGAGCTAGCCACATTCTACCACTGGAGCTAGCTCACACCGTAACACCTCCCCCCCTTTAAGAGTGGCACTTCCACGCTGAGTCATTCATTCTTAACCGAGGAAATTTATCACTATTAACCATGTGGCTTTTACAATTTGATTATCGATTTGATACGTCGTGTGACAGACCAATTTAAATGCTGTTCTGAAGCTGTCTTGACAGTACATTCGCAATTCCGGTGTTATGTCGATATTTGCTGCCTTGTCGTAAAATTCTACCATTGCGCAAAACGATAGCAAGAGGCTAACTATGCCCCCCTATGAAATAATGCCACCAGATAAAAGTAACTTGAATTCACTTATCATCACATGTATGGGCATAAGGCTCTGAAAGGGGGAGCAAGTTTTGGCGGTTTTGTTATGTAAGATTTCAGGGGAAGACATTAATCTCTTACCAAATAATGCTCCCAGTACAGAATCACTTTCAAAACACCATCGTTTGCCCCTTAAGGAAACAGACAGCCTGTTTATTTACTCTAACATTAGAGGGTTTAGATGAAGTGTTTATAATAAGATCATATTATAATAGCCCCCCCCCCCACCCCCTGTTCCGCATGGCAGCACCTCTCAAATGGGTAGCACTTTTAGACAGAACACCCCCTGTCATAGCGTGCTAACTGTAGCTATTTTCCTGGGGGTGAAACTATGCACATGTTTGGCTGACTCTCCCTGTTTTCTTCCTCGTTATACGACCGACCATGTCTACTGTGTGATATGAACGAGTCTCCTTCCACAGGGGTGATGTGTCACTTTATTTAATGCTAATATTAGGCGGGCTTGGTGTGGTCGCTGCGCACGCGTTATTGCCACCACCGCATTGCTGCTTGATTACTTGACATTAAAGTGTTACAAATATCTGGGCTTCTGGTTTGTGATAGTAAACGGTGTCTAAAAGTCACGCCTGTGTGTGTTTGTGCGGCTGTAAGATGAATTTTCTTTGCTTTCTGCGTCATTCAGAGACGAGGGCCCTCACTGGAGGTGAACAGCATGCGGTGGCCATGTTGCCTCAGTCACACCGAAACAACACTTGGACCACTTAGATTTATAATACAACAAATTGGGGGGGGGGGAAAGGGTTAAAAGTTCTTGTGGCTTATATGTCAGAGGAGACGGGAGTGCTCCCATTAGAAATACACAAGGCCATCATCATGGAGTGTTTTTAAGACATGATCCTTGTTATGATACTTTCATGTGCTACAAACTCTGACCCACTGCATGGCAGCCTTGCGAGCTAATGTGGGTTTCTACTAAAAATCTATGCAAGGTTCTTGTTCCGGTCACGTTTCCACCCTTGAGGGTAACACCCCTCCCATTTCCTCTGATTGGTTAGGAGGTCTCCCTGCTGAAGGGCACTCAAAGCACAGTGTCTGGGTGATGGGACATTCAGAAAAAAAAAAGCTGATGTGAATGGTCTCAAAGCCTGTTGACCTTTGCCTCTATTTAACACAAAAAATCCATTTGATGCCGTGTTCTGCTCTGCACGAGCTGAGCACTGGCTTGAGGCAAAGTCAGCCGTAAACGGAGAGGTTTAAACGGAAAAGCTAATCCCTTTTTGAATTCAAGTGTAACCCAGTAACTGCTGTATGAAGTGTCACAAGAAGCATCCACGCTCCAGTTTGTGTGCAGAGGATGCTCGGATATCAGATGAAAGTAGGATATTCAGGAGATCGATTTGAGCTTGACATTTTGCAGCAATTCAGCCGAAAACCGAGCCTACCAAATACCTTAAGAGCTTGTTTCAAATGTTTTCAAACAATCTTTGAACTGAGACATTGATGATGTAAGCGCTGTGATCTATCTGCGTTGACTTTTTAAAAATAACTTGAATAACTAGTGCTCGTTTGAAAGCCCTCTGTCTAATAGACTGCCCGGTGAGGTAGTTTAGCTGGTCTTGTGTTGACTCTTAAGTGTGAGAGTAAAGTGGACGTGTGTCCACACAGTGAAGATTTATGATGACAACAGTTGGTTAGAAATCATCATCCCCGCAGCACAACCACTGTTTCAGTTCAGTTCCACTCGTCTTTTATAACTACCCGACACCACCTGTCCTTGTAGTGCTTTACTCGACCGGCCTGCAGCGAAGTTCAAGGCTAAATCTGCCTCGCACTGAGTGACTTTCAGGCCATTAACCAGATCACAGACGGTTTAAGAAAAGTGTGTGGCCGGTCGGGTGAATGAGGACTGGCATTACTTTACAGCCAGAGGGCAGATTAACGGCTCAGAGGGCGATGTCAGTGGATCAGGCTCGCTTGGACGTCAGCCAATGTCCAAATAAGTCCACAAGGGCATCTGATTCACAAATGTGGCGCTCGGCTCGCTCGCATTACGTCCACCGTCCTTCCTCAGGGCTCGACAGCAGCTTGCCAACTTGTCTTGAAGGCCAGAAACTGTTATCACATCTTCACACCTTGAGTCCTGAAGGCTCTGGAGCCAAACAGTGACCACATCTTGTGTATTTGGCTTTTTAAGTTGCTAAGATGCTGCACTGCTCCTTGTATTCAATTATTCTCGATGTGTCACTGAAATAGTCTTAAACTGTCTAATAATAAATCTATTCATTCTGATTAGTCGTGTTTCTCTTCGTGGAAATGGAAATCCAACCTGTGGTAGTTTTCTGCAGACTGATCTGGTTCTTTCCTGGTCACCAACACTGAGCAGCCAAAAATAGCCTCTGGTGCACATTTCACTGTGAAACGAGAGCTCAATGAGGTCTGCAGTAATGTTAGCTAGCCGGGCATGTTGCAACAGCTCTGATGTCATCAGTGTGGGGCGAAAAAGAAACTCTTAGTTATACATGAGGTACTTACTAGACCAGCACAAGTAGCGGGTTCCGTTATCATCTCCCGTTCACACAGAACAGATAAAAAGTTTGATGGCTCTGTTTTAATCTTTTAACAGCCTTGAGCTCAATGATACTTAAGCTGTGTGTAAGAGAAAAAGGAGAGACTGCTGCTTTGTTTACTGTAGTCTCAAACGAGACCAGGAGGATAGATTTATTTAATTGATCAGCAGGAATGTATTATGTTGCAGCAGCAGTTTATTCAGCATCGCACAGTGACAATAAATCTGTCTTTTGCCTGAGCTTTTTTACCCCTCCCCCAGGTGGGTGACACTCCCACAGCTAGGTGTTTGTTCTGCCCTCTGAGGGCACAGTCGCACTGGCCATCCAAACCGTGCCCAAACATGCTTCAACCCTAACTTCGGAGAGGTGTGCTTCGGCATGGTACACTTCATGCATGAGCACGCAGGTAAACAACGCTGATAGCCTCCATTATGGAGAAATCCAGAGTTTCATGTCTGTATCTGACTAACATGACACAATATAAGACATAAAGTAGCTGTCATGTTCTCTGTGTTCTCCGATGTGCGGACTCGACTGCGCGTCTATTTTATTTTTTCTCTCTCTCGTCCGCCTTTTTGTAAACATGCTTCATAATAACATAAAGCGTGCATGTGTTGTATTACGATGTTATGTACAAGAGGTAATCGTGCTCAGGCCCGGTTAGTCCTGTGCAGTGTGACCGTGGGCCGTGCCGGCCAGTGGGGGAATAGCGCAGCGGGGGGGGGGGCAATCATGCTTGAGTACGGCACAGTACGGGTGGCCAGTGTCACCACGCCCTGAGTCTGCCTTCTCAATGTAAACGATAGGACATGGAGGAAGAATCCCAGGTCACATCCCCTTCCAGAGAGGGGGTGTGGTCAGACACAGCTCATTTACATATTTAAAGGTAAAGACACAGAAACAGCCTGTTCTGAGCAGGGCTGAAATAGAGGGGTTTATAGACATGATCAAATACAGGATCAGAGTGGATTTAGAACAAGAAACTTCACAGACATGTTTTGAGGAGCTCTGAGAATTATTTAAACTGGTTGAAGAGGAGGAGAATATGAGACCTTTAAATTGCGATATCTTGTAACAGAAAATCAAACCTGATTTAAAAAAAAAAAAAAAAACATTTTATAGTGCTGTGTGTTTACATGTTTCAATATTTTAATAACAAAATAAATTGCAGTAATTAAACAAATACTGAAGTTTGCATATTACCTGTAACTCAGATGTGTCTATCTTTACCTGTGTTTTTGACATGTCACCCTGAAAGCCTTAGCATTTTTATAAACCACTGAACTAGCACCAATTATACAGCAGGTAGCAGCTATAGTTAGCTTCCTCTAAACGGTGTAACAACAAGGTTATTATATCCTCCATGTCTCTTTCCAACATGCAGAGTGAGAAATAAATATAATTCCTTTTTTTGAAATTTCAGTATCAGACTTTTATGCTCGTGTTGATAGGGGATACCATTGGGACCTAAAGCTTAGCATGCAAACCAAACACACATTGGTTCTTGATTCTCTCTGCTCAAACCTCTGGATGTGTTTAGTAAAAGAGTAAGGTGTTGCACAGGCGTACAGAGCAAACAGATCCCGCTGCATTGGTTAAATTAAGCCTCAGTGATCACATGGTGATGATAAAAAGGCCCTAACCCTTTTCCAGAAGCTGGTCAATATTAATGACTGATGTCGTTTGACTCTGGTTACATGTCACAGAGTAGATGAGGAGAATGGCTAGCTGCTGTTTAGAGTTACTGTGGAAAAAGTCTGAGTAAGCGGTCAGTCATCGTGGCGCCATCTGCACTTTAGACATACTCAACCCCAAATGACCCCCCATGGTGATGGTGAGGAGGAGGAGGACGACGACTTGAGTCATTATAAGCACATGTCTCAAGGCTGAAGAAGCGACTTTGAGTTCCTCTGGATCCTCATATCTTAAAAAGGGCACAACTGTTAGTATTTTATCGCATTAAACACAACAAGGTTGAAATCCCTTGTGGATCTGCAGAGTTTTGATTACTTATGATTGGGTTATTACAGCAGTTATCATCGTGTGATAACCTATTCGCGTTGTCATGACACCAGAACTTAAAGATGTGAAATGATTCCAGGTCGAATGAGACAATATTGATAGCTGTTTTGATAGAATGGCAACATAAATAATGCTGTCTGTAACAAAACATAGCCAGCGTACTTGCGCGATTTCGCTGCAAGAGTTTGATCGGAAATATCACAGGAATAAAAGCATTATTTTGTTTGAAATCCAATTTTGTCGACCTTACTGCAGAGGTTATATCTCTTTTGATTGTCTGGGTTACGGCCACAGCAGTCAGGATTTTATTATCATTATTTGATACCTGTATCATGCTGGATATGAAGCCTATAGAGGTGAGAGGTTAAGTGTGAAATTACAGGTGGATGTAAAGCTTCTTCAGGACAGAGTGAGCCAGTGGGTGACGGATGTCCACACCTGTCACAGTGGGTTACACAGGTGGCGCTGACAGTGTAGTTCATCACTGAGGCACCTTTTCTCGTTCAGAGAAAAGGCTGTCGGATCATACGGCCCTGTTCCATCTCTCAGACGGGGTGAACTGTGTCACATTAGACTGCTGGTAAATTCCCCTTTTGAGCGATGCTTGTACTCCTCGCGCTCTTTCTCTACTCGCCCAGGCTGTGCCGGGCTTCCTGCTGGCAGCTCTGAATGGGCCCAGGCTGTTCCTGTGAGGTCGTAGTGAGAACGTGACGCAGCTGCTTTTTGCACTGCGGCTGTCTTTGAGAGGTGGGAGGGGGATAGGAGGAGGAGGAGGAGGAGGGGAGGAGACAGCAGCAGCAGCAGCAGCCTTCCTGTTGTTGAGGAGAGCGCTGCCTGTGCTTGTTTTTTTTTTAAAGTTTTTACTCGGCAGCGATATTCAAGCAGGTTTTCAGCACAAAATACCTTTTAAAAAAAAAAAATTTTTTTAAATCCTCTCAGTCCGACCCAATACTTACTCAGTTCTGCCAAAGGTTTCCTTTCATTGTAGTAACCCCTCCCCCCTCCTGTAGGACAGGAAATATCCACTCAGAAGGTTGCAAACATCGTTGTAGTTTGATAAACAACTTAGATACCCGTTTTAGACTAACGCTTGTTTCTATGATAATCCCTCGTGCATCTCACACCTCCCTCTCGGTTCTGCAAAAAGAAAACAAGTCCACGTTACACTCGAGGTTGGGAATGTTTTCATTTTCAAACTGTGAAGCTGGATTCACTGAATGTCATTTAAAAGAATGCTAAATGTTGCTTCTTCTTTTTTTTTCGTTTCTCTCCTGCAGGTTTGAGTGGGACAAACTTTTGGAGAATGTGCATTGTTTGATCATAAGTGTGACAAAGTCTGACAAGCAGGAAGCTTATATACTCAGGTGAGTACTGAGTCTTTGCTCTCAGTGTGTGTGTCCTCTTGTTTTCCTACTGATTTAGAAAGTGGGCGGGCAGGATTAGACAGCAGCGACCGGTAAGCTGCTTGTCATTGACCGAACAGTCCCGGGTTATGAGACAGACAGAGCTGTGGGCCGTTACTCTACATGCTGCACACCTCATTCATTGGAGAAGTGATAACCACAAATCCTCCTGAGGAACAGGGCTCCTCAACAGCTTGTTAAGCACTGTCCAAATCTCCTCTTCTAATCAATAGCTGACTGACCATGTCTGCACTCGAAGTCATTTTCAACAAGTCTGAATCAGTGCTCTGTCACAATAGACAACTGAGAAGGACGGGTAGAAAATATGGATGTAGTGTCGCCCATTGGTTCCCTATTGGCCTCGTTTTCCAGACCCTGACGTTTCCGCTCGAGTGAGACCCACTGGTCAGGCCAGGGGTTTAAATCTGTATTTTAAAAGACTTCAATTAAAACACATCTAACCTAAATGTAATACAGTAGACCCTATAATATAGCTTTGAATCCATCAAAAGGAACGTCATTTTCTTCATTAATCATCACCTATACTTAATTTTCGTGCCACCTTTAAACTTGCTTATACCAATTCTTATGGTTAAAAAAAACATGGCCGACATGACCCCCATTTGTGTTGCGTGCATAGAAAGCCGAGGACATGCATTACATATAAGTAAATAAAAATAGTGCCGGGTGATTGAAATGATGCTCGTCTCTCATTGGACAACAATGAGTTTATGTCGAGCATAATGGTGCATTCATGTGGTGCCCGACCTGCTGACTTGACGTCATATTCGTCATCACATGGACACTGAAGAACGACTTCCCAACTCAGAAACTTGAACCATCAGAGGAGCTCATCAATGCAGCATCGCTCTTAGAGGTTGTCCGTCTCCTTATAGTCATAATAAAAAGTCACCCGTTACTAGTCAAACTCGTCAGTGATGTGAAGCTGTGACCACAGGTAACCTCAGTAATATTAGAACCTTTGTTTGTTGTTTTTCTCTCCGAGACTTGAGGTTAAACATCAAACACCTGATTATCATTTGTGATTCCAACTCTGACTAAGTTGTGAAGTATTTCTTCCTCTAACTGCAAGTCAAAACAAATTAGCCAAAGTATTTGGTTGGCGTCCATATTCTCAACTATTATGTCATTTTAATGATGTTTGATTCTCTGCCTGAAGGGAAATTCGGGTATTTTTACACCTCAGCCGCATTTGAACATCTGAAGCAATCTACTGAGAGAATAAAACTCTAACGGGCTCACAGTGTTTTATATTTATATATTTATATGTATATGTGTGTGTATGAGAGAGTAACCGAGACAAAGAAATACACAAGACCAGCTACGAGACCAGGACCTTTAGGGATCGAGACTGAGTCAAGACCAGAGTCATCGTCTTGTGTGCAGGGGGTGTATAACTTAGAACCTAACACCGGGAAGGATTAACCAGGGGATTAAAATCAAACTATAAATGAATTGAAGTTATTGGTTCTTTTAGAAAGAGGCGTTTTCTTTCTAATCACACTAATGACATGATAAAAAGCCAATCAGTGGTGGTTTTGATATAAAATCCGGAGTCTGAGACCAGGACGAGACCGAGACCTTTAGAAAGTGGTCTCAAGATTTTGAGTACTACATCACCAGAGTTTGAAAACAGGACCGATTCTGTTACAGGACTAGACCTCATCTCTTCTACAGCCACCAGACTCCACGGACAAAATAATAATGATTACACCTGAAAGAGCATGTTGTTCATCTGCCGCCTGTATCAGTAGATTTGTTTGTGCCACTTTTGGTTTTAAGATATGTTTATTCACAGAGTAAACATTTGTGTAAATCCAAAGCTCAACTATCCAGGTAGACACGTGGAGACTCGGGTCTTCTGCAAGCTCAGATGTTTTTGTCAATGGAGTCTGATAGCTTTAGAAACAATGGTGCCTCAACAAAAAGCTTTAATTCTTTTGGGATCTACTTTGTCATGATGTCAGACTCTTGGAACAACGGCCTGAACTTGTAAGCGGCTCTACATCTTGACACATTTGAAGTATTATGTTGCAGCTATAACTATGTTGCTGTTGCAATCTACTGGAGCAACTCCAAAATGTGTTCCTACCACTCATCACAAAAATGAGTTTAATTAGGATAATACCTTAAATGTTGAGGGGGTTTGATTGGGACTGGACTCCAAATCTAGGTATTGGCAAAGTGACAAATTTAGCAACAGATTAACGGGGAAAAAAACCTAAAACTGAAATTTAAGCTTCCTGTTAAGCTGCAAATGTTTCCCTGACTTAAAGGTGTTTTCACACCTCTAGATAATTTGCTCTGGTCTGAATCATGGATCAGTTTGTTTCATAATGTGTTCACACGGGGACATTTACAAGAGGACCTTAATGTGAGATGCCCGAGGGACAATCCCTGACGTAAACAAAGACTAGTTGATTCCTGATTGGCTGTGGCTGCTCCAGAGACACTTCACAATTCATTAACAGACAGACGATGTGATTTCGGCTCTGCTCATTGGTTCTTATGTTGTTTACATTTTCAGGTAAACGATACTGTTTGAAAATGAGGTGTGACTTCAGCTTTTAAAATAATATGTTGACGTAGTGGAGTCATCCACCCAAACTGTTTCTGAAGATTCATCAGGTCCGCCTGGTTGTTGATTCCTGCAGTTGGGTCTGATCGAGGCCTCGTACAGTTCATTGGTGCGCACCAGGGATCACTCAACATCTTTCACACAAGTGCAAACGAGCCGCACTAACAGACTCGGGTGTGGTGATGATAACCTGTATGTTAGTTCAGTGGACCTGCAGTAATTGAGGCGTGTTCTTACACTTCTCTTGTACTTGTGTTCCTCCACAGTGAGAGTAGCATGTTTGTCTCCAAGAGACGTTTCATTTTGAAGACATGCGGAACCACCCTCTTACTGCAAGCACTGGTGCCTCTGCTGGAACTCGCCAGGGAGTACTGCGGTTTTGATGCCATCGAGGTGAGACTGCAGATGTGTGAAAACAGGAACAAAGAGCATGATCCTATTTGTACGTCAGATCTCTAAATCCATCACAGTATGCTGTTATTCACTCGCGTTTGATGGTCGTCTTCTTTTATGCAGAATTTCTTCTACTCCCGCAAGAACTTTATGAAACCATCCCATCAAGAGTTCCCTCATCGAAACTTCCAGGAGGAAGTGGACTTTCTAAGCCAGATATTCCCAAGTGAGTACTATGATGATGTCATCGGGGTGCCCTCCTTTGTGTTGTGCTTAGTCCTGGTCCTAGTCTCTTTAAGGTTGCTCCAGCATATATGTCTGTATGATGGATAATTCAGCATGCAAAGCCAACAGTAACCTTACGGTCTCCTTCTTCCAGATGGCGCCGCCTACTGCATGGGCCGTTTGAACTCTGACTGCTGGTGAGCACAACATGATTTCATTCAACAGTAGAAACGTTCTGCATTGTCCTGCTAACATGACGGGATGTTAGTGGAGTAGAAATTACCACTCTGTTGTCCTCTCCTGTGGTTTTAACCTTCACATGTTGCAGTGATTTGTCTTGTTTCGCACACCACATAAGTCACATGAAACAAAACTGATGTATGTAAATGAATTCAATGGAGCTGAACATTTTAAAAATCTCTCTCCTGATCTTTGCAACTTACGACGGTCTAACCTTTGACCCCCTGTCCTCCACAGGTACCTGTTTACCCTGGACTTACCAGAGTACTGGGAGAACAAGCATGCGGATCAGACGCTGGAAGTTCTGATGAGTGACCTCGATCCAGCCATTATGGACCAGTTCTATATGAAAGATGGTGTTTCTGCAAGTGATGTCACTCGTGTAAGTGAAAGCTAAGCGTCCACACGTGGGAAAGTGTCTCATCACTGTAATGTTTTCAGAGCTGATGTTGACCCTGTTCTTGTTCTCGGTTTTGCAGATGAGTGGAATTTGTGACCTGATACCAGGTTCTGTGATCGATGCCACAATGTTCAACCCTTGTGGATACTCAATGAATGGAATGAAGACTGACGTGAGTATTTTATCACTTCGTTTGTTTTGCCGCAACCAAAACAGATGAGACACTTTTATTTTCAAACCAGACACAGATATGAGCTTCTTCTTCATCCAATTACAAATGAACCTTAAGCACATGGGAGTGGTCGACTAATGCCTCACTGATTGTTTCAGGACTGACACTGAAATCCTCCTGACCTGTTCACACATGCAACTCACAGCTGGAAACTATCTCTGTCAGACAGGAGGTGGGGCGGGGGGGGCGGGGGAGGCGAGGGGGGGGGGTCTCCTGATGTAAGACATGCAAAAAAAGAAGAACCCCGGAAGTTGCAGACGTGCAATAGAGTCTGCTACACGACACTATAACGAGAATATTTGTCTTTATATCAATGCTATGTGTAGTCCAATGGAATGACAACATCCACAAAAGAGAGGAGAACAGAAAACTTAACTCAGCAGTTTAATTACAGTGGGTGGGGAAAGTATTCAGACCCCTTTACATTTTTCACTCTTTGTTTAATTGCAGCCATTTGCTAAAATCAAAAAAGTTCATTTTATTTCTCATTAATGTACACTCAGCACCCCATCTTGACAGAAAAAAAAACAGAAATGTAGAAATTTTTGCAAATTTATTAAAAAAGAAAAACTGAAATATCACATGGTCATAAGTATTCAGACCCTTTGCTGTGACACTCATATTTAACTCACATGCTGTCCATTTCTTCTGATCCTCCTTGAGATGGTTCTGCTCCTTCATTGGAGTCCAGCTGTGTTTAATTAAACTGATTGGACTTGATTAGGAAAGGCACACACCTGTCTATATAAGACCTTACAGCTCACAGTGCATGTCAGAGCAAATGAGAATCATGAGGTCGAAGGAACTGCCCAAGGAGCTCAGAGACAGAATTGTGGCAAGGCACAGATCTGGCCAATGTTACAAAATAATTTCTGCAGCACTCAAGGTTCCTAAGAGCACAGTGGCCTCCATAATCCTTAAATGGAAAAAGTTTGGGACGACTAGAACTCTTCCTAGACCTGGCCGTCCAGCCAAACTGAGCAATCGTGGGAGAAGAGCCTTGGTGAGAGAGGTAAAGAAGAACCCAAAGATCACTGTGGCTGAGCTCCAGAGATGCAGTAGGGAGATGGGAGAAAGTTCCACAAAGTCAACTATCACTGCAGCCCTCCACCAGTCGGGGCTTTATGGCAGAGTGGCCCGACGGAAGCCTCTCCTCAGTGCAAGACATATGAAAGCCTGCATAGAGTTTGCCAAAAAACACATGAAGGATTCCCAGACTATGAGAACGAAGATTCTCTGGTCTGATGAGACCAAGATTGAACTTTTTGGCTTTAATTCTAAGCGGTATGTGTGGAGAAAACCAGGCACTGCTCATCACCTGCCCAATACAATCCCAACAGTGAAACATGGTGGTGGCAGCATCATGCTATGGGGGTGTTTTTCAGCTGCAGGGACAGGACGACTGGTTGCAATTGAAGGAAAGATGAATGCGGCCAAGTACAGAGATATCCTGGAAGAAAACCTCTTCCAGAGTGCTCAGGACCTCAGACTGGGCTGAAGGTTCACCTTCCAACAAGACAATGACCCTAAGCACACAGCTAAAATAACAAAGGAGTGGCTTCGGAACAACTCTGTGACCACTCTTGACTGGCCCAGCCAGAGCCCTGACCTAAACCCAATTGAGCATCTCTGGAGAGACCTGAAAATGGCTGTCCACCAACGTTCATCATCCAACCTGACAGAACTGGAGAGGATCTGCAAGGAAGAATGGCAGAGGATCCCCAAATCCAGGTGTGAAAAACTTCTTGCATCATTCCCAAGAAGACTCATGGCTGTACTAGCTCAAAAGGGTGCTTCTACTCAATACTGAGCAAAGGGTCTGAATACTTATGACCATGTGATATTTCAGTCTTTCTTTTTTAATAAATTTGCAAAAATTTCTACATTTCTGTTTTTTTTTTCTGTCAAGATGGGGTGCTGAGTGTACATTAATGAGAAATAAAATGAACTTTTTTGATTTTAGCAAATGGCTGCAATGAAACACACAGTGAAAAATGTAAAGGGTTCTGAATACTTTCCGTACCCACTGTATGTGCATTGAGATCGTAGCGGTCGCCTGTGCAGCAGTCACAGTACATACACATCACTCCCCCCTCCTTTTGGCTTGAGGTGAATTCTCCTGATAATATCCTGCTGTGTTCTCACATCAGCTCACTCTGACTTGCTGCAGAAAAAATACTAGGGGTCTGTCAGGAGAAACTCTGGGTAAAGTCAGAGGGAAACATTCAGCTGTTTGACTTCACACATACAGCTCCTCCAGGAAATATCAAGAGTTTTTTTCAAGGAGTTTTCTGCAAGTGTGAAAGCACCATTAGATCACTTTTGAGTGTTATGTAGTTTTGGATGTGAGCTGTAACAAATCAAAGTGCTGACGACATCGCTCAGTGATAAAGCTTCCTCTTGGGTTTCCTTTTAGAACAAGTTCAGATGCAGCCTGGTGGCTTTAAGTAAAGATGTGTAACAACAAAAAGGTCTTTGTTTGGGATCATTTTGTTCTGTGAGACCCTTACATAACAGTCTGATTCTGTCGGTTACAATAACCGGCATTTAGAGTTCTTTAATCTGCTGTAAACAGACATAATAATAATAATAATAACGTTGGAACTATTACAGGTGGTTTCAGGGCCTCTGATGTAATCTGCTCTGAAAGTCTTTGCACACATTGGTCTTTTAGAGTTTTCTCAGGTATGGAGACATAGGTTGAAGGGGACGCGTCTGTATGACATGTTGTGAAATGTTCTCCTCCAGGGAACTTACTGGACCATCCACATCACCCCGGAGCCAGAGTTCTCCTATGTCAGCTTCGAGACCAACCTCTCCCAGACGTCATATGATGATCTGGTCCGGAAGGTTGTGGAGGTGTTTAAGCCAGGAAAATTTGTGACTACGCTTTTTGTCAATCAGGTAAGTTTGAAACGTTTTACTTTTTTTCGTTGGCTTTGATTTGAACTGAAGCAGTCGATGACTGAATGCTACTTCCCCCTCTGTTTCGTCCCTGCAGAGCTCCAAATGTCGCAGTGTCTTTTCTTCAGCCCAGAAACTTGAGGGCTTCAAGCGTCTCGACCGCCAATTGGCTCAATTCAACGACTACAATTTTGTCTTCACAAGCTACGCCCAGAACCGCCAGCAGAACCAGCAGAGCTGAGGGTCGACGATGAAGAGGCGTAAAAAGAAAGGCGTCCGCTCTGGGCTCCCCCAGTGCGGCCGGCTTCTCCCCCCACAAGAGAGCTTGTCGTCGTCGTCCTCCTCCCCCCTCGTCGTCCTCCTCCCCTCCTCCCGCCGCTGCTGCTGTCGTCGTTCAGATTGTCCCGGTGCTGACGCAGTCGCGAGCCCTATTTTAACCTCCAGTTTGAGTTGTTTGCATTGTTGTTCCTGTGACTTAGATCTCTTGCATGAAAGCTCTTTTCTCTGTTTCGATATTCTAGCTCACTCTTGCTGTGATCTTGAAGTGCATGTAGAGGAATTAAACACGCTCTGTTTGAGGCTGTCCACCTGTGCCCAGTACCATGGCCCCTTCCTGCAGGTGTCCCCCCTCATCCCCCACAGACAAGGCTTCCGCCCGCACTAGGCCGGGGCCCTGACATGCTCAGACCAGTGTCCGCCTCTTTCCCAGCTCAGCCGCCATGATCTCAAACCGACAACCGGTCTCCACCTCATTTACACTTTCACATTTGGAAAATTGGTATTTCTGAATCTCTTCCGATTTCTGAGTGCACTTTGAAACAAAACAAACGCCACGGTACGAAAAGACGGCCGACCTTTCTGTCTCGCGTCTTGATTGAATGTTTAAGTCACGCTAAGCTTTCTGCCACTGTAATCGTTGTCGCTTCGTCCAAAAAAAAAACGAATGCCATACTTGCTGTTTAATGTCCCACTGTGTGATTAAAAAGGTCTGCAGTTATTGACACGCCACTGACGAGAAGACTTGGTGCTTTGCTGGTCACCTGGACACGTTTGGCCGTGCTCCTCCTCCTCGACAATCATGTACACACTTCACTTTTTTCCCCCCTTTATCCACCTAATAACCAAATCAGACGATGTATGACACTAAAGATGTGATCTCCTCCTGAGCGCCTTAACGACACTACACGGTTAGAAAATGTGGGATGAGAACTTTCACCAATCAGAAAATATTTAAATGAAATTAAACTAAACACAGAGTTTGGGTCAATACAGTTTAAAAAAAGGGATTATTAAAAGACACATGTCGATGGTTAAAGGTAAAGTGTTTCTGAGCAGGAGTAGGTAACATGCAGACGACCATGTGGTTTATATCGCCATGTGATTACTCGACGAGTTTTAATAAACCACTCAGAATCCTCCTTTTATTCAGACTCAGTTAAACACACTTCAGATTTCTCTCGGTATGTTTCGGTCTACTTGGTCATCACGCTGTAGGTACGGGGGCTTTACAGCAACAGAAACACATTGAAAGTGAAATGTTACACTTATGGCGGTTCTCCCCTCCTGGTCCACGCGTTTCCCCAAAGACCCAAAGAGGCTTTTAAAACGGTCTGTGTTTGAATCACTGAAGACATTCATGCTGTGCACTTTGTGTCACCTGCTGCGTCTATAGGAAGCTTCCACCCTATAGAACCTACACACACACAAATTAACTCGTTAAATTGAATGTAGCACAGGCCTCTATAAAGCCCCCCCCTGTCACACAACCGTCCTCCATCTTTTGAATGTACATGTCTTTAGAGAAAAGTCTGGACTGAGTTTGAGCTGAATGTACGACTCCAGGAGAGCACACGCCCCCCCCACCTCTCCCCCCCTCTCTCTCACACACACACACATTTAGACGCTCACAATGATTGAGCAGCCATTATCCAGCTCACCCCCCCCAGACATGACGAGAGCCGGCCCTGCTGGCTGGCCCCCCCCCCCCCCCACACTCTGCTCTGAATGGGAAATAATGAATCAGACACTTTTTGCTTAGTTGCCCAGCAAAGCATTTTTCTTCTTGCCACATTATCTGAGCGTGTCTCTGTCTCTTTCCGCCCCATACAGAAAACTGTAAGCGCACAATAGAGGCGCGCCGGTCTGAGCATGCCAGGGTGACCCCGGATCATTCCACATGTAACCGCTGCATAAAACTGCCGTTTTATTACATTTATTGTGGCCAGACGGTTTTTGCAGTGGATCAGTCCAAAATGTGACTCCCCCAGCAGTTTTTTTTTCTTTTTGTTTGTTGCTCTTTGTCCATGGAGGGGGAAACTCCTGTGACACCATGGTGCATGTGACTACTAGTGCCGTGTTGCTTGAGCGTGTCGTGTAGCGCCATCTCTTCCTCCTTTCTGTCCATGTGCTTCCATCTTCCTCTTGTTTCACCAGCTCTCCTTCAAACTGCTGCATCCTGATGTGTGTTTTTTGGGGTTAGGTGGGGATTCGTATTATTATTATTTTTTTGTTCCTTCATTTTTTTTTCAAGTTGTGGACGAGTGCTGAAAGCAGGTTAAGTTTTTTATTTATTACTGAAGGTAACAATCGTCCGAGGCTCGTCCTCTCCACCTGCCGCTGAGTTCTCCTTCACGACTCTTCTCCTGCCAGAGAACGCAGTCTGAATCTGGACTCAGCCGGATCAGAACCTGCTTTCAGCCCTGCAGTCGGGTTAACCTGCGATGATTGCATCAGAACCTGCAGCCTGTGAGGCGCTCGGCGAGCTCGTCGGAACAGTTCACCTGAGAATGCGCGCTGAAGTTGACACTGGAATCGTTTCCTCTCTGGTGTGTCTGTCATGGCATTTTGGAGTGGTTTCATTCTTTTCCCTGAGGACCAATCTCGGCTCTCTCGTGAACTGTTCTGAACCGGTTGCCGTGACGATCGTTACGGGTCCTTTTTATTTTTGAGCCCGCACGTTTAGGGGGTGAAATACTCGTAGCAGTGTGATGCTAACTGTCCTCGGAGCAGGTTCTTTTTAGCCTTAGTGGTGTGCATCATTGCTATATTTTATTTTTTTATACAGTGAACTCAAAAAGCATTTTTGCAGTTGAACGGTAAAAAGAGTTTTATACAAAAAACAGATTTTGTATTTTTGCTGCGGACCAATATTCTCTTGTTTATCTCCCCCCTTTTTGTCCAAATGTTTTAATTCTGTCGTTTGAATCGAGTGTGTTCTGGGGTTAAGGGATGATTACCTTTTCAATCTAAATCATGTTGTGTTTTTTTTAATTACTTTTTCACTTTCTCTCTGAATCACCTGAAAGGAAGGGAAAGTGAGAGAGGGGCGTGGGTGCAGGATGACTCAGGATGTACTGACGGAGAAACTTTGCTGTTCTAATTCTTTCTTTTGCTGTTCTTTGGATGGTCAAGATGTGCTAAATATATGTGCTACGAGCTTGATGCTTCAATAAAAAAAGATACCTATATGTGCAACCGCCGTGGTCTTTATTTGGACTCTTTGTGTCGGGATGGTTTGGAAGAACAGACACTTAAACTACAGATGAAATGACTCAAAGGAGCGGGATGACAGAGAGGTGAACACTGTCTCTCAAACACTGAAGTCTGAGTATCAAACAGAAAAAACACAGGGGATATGAGGAGGAGTCTGGGTGTGGGAGACTTCAGGATCCAAATGATTAGGGGTTGATTGATGAGGAAGCAGAGCAGGTGTGTCAGTGGAAGGTAATCGGGTATGAACAAATCAAGTGTAGATGTCCTCTCATTAACCTGTCCTCTCTGATAGTGCTGCTCCTGAAGGCCTCGTATCCCCTCATCATAAAAATCTTAACTGTCTGAAATCACTGCCACGTGCAGATTAATAAAGTGCGTCTATAATCTGTTCTTAAGCCTGCTACATACTTGGCAACCAAACAACTGGAGAGTGTGTATACATGATAAATAGACTTAATCTTGTATATTTATTTTCTAGTCTTCTGACTACTCAAACCTCTTTCACACTGCAGGTCACACCTACACATGCACACACTGATGGTGGAGGTTTAAATTAATCCAACCATACACATTCACAGACTGCTGAAGAAGCAGCAGGAGCAACTTGAGGTTGAGTGTCTTGCATAAAGGAGACATCAGACATGTGCCTGCAGGAGCTGGGGATTGAGCCCCTAACCTTCTGGTTAAGAGACAACCAACTCTACCAACTGAGCCACAGGCGCCCAAATTTATGAAATGATTGACTCAAGTCACTGATCTCTCTCAGTGTGCAGAGACAATAGATGTCTGCCAGCCGTTCTTTTGATTTGTGGCTCACAATATCGTCTCAGAATGAGATAAAGTATTAGTATATTATTGATTCCTGAATCCTATGAGTCCTGTGAGTATGCCAGTGTCTGTGTTTTGTGTCCCTGATGTTCATAGATCCCAGAGGGCTGAAGGAGAAAGTTTATTTTATTTATTTTTTACTGTTACTCAGCTGCCACTCAGGGAAGTCCATCAAACCAGAAATATCATCTACAGACATTTTCAAGAATTATTACTAAGTTTTGCTACCTTGAGTGGTACTGGAGTCTGGTCTGGCCCATGGACTTAAAGCAGGACAGTGTCTGAATAAAATGTGCAAGTAGAATCTGTCAGAGGGTCATTTAAAAAAAAAAAAGAATCGTCTTCAAAATCAGCTTTATTGTCCAGGTAGGCTCACACATACACACATACACACATACAACATAAAATATAAAATAATAAATATTTTGAAGACTAAATGAGATGATAAAGCAGAGGTGAGGGGCAGGAACCTCCTCATTGTGAGGCAACACACTAACCACAGCACACCCATGCATTCTCTGAGGCTACCACAGAAGCTCTAAGAACAGAAGTGATTGTATGAAAGAAGTGTATTAGCTCTGTGGTAAAGGATACAACACGTGGTACACGTGCAGAGTACGACTGTAAGACGTGACCATGTGGTCTTTAAAAACATGATGAACCTGTTCATCATGCAGCACTTGATAAGATGTACAACAATCTGATTAAAGTTTGTTGCTGAGCGTTATGAGGAGGACTTATGTGTGTGTGTGTGTGTGTGTGTGTGTGTGTATTAATGTAGAGGGTGGAGGGTTTAGGATGTGAGGGAGGGGGTTTGTGTATTTACAGTACGTTATGTTACTGAAAGTCTAATCAGTGCACAGATACAAAAATGTAACAAAAGAAATCCCCTGCCTCTTTGTTCCCACGGCTCCATCTCCTCATTGACATCACCTGAGGCCTCTCTTACACTCTGACATGTGATTTAAGTGTTCTTTTATATTCTGCTCTTATACATCAGACGTGGCTGCAGGAACTGGGGCTTGAAATATTTTTTCTTTCATATTTTATTTAAGTGAGAAGTTTATGTTAATTTTATTTAATTCAAACGTATAAATGAATACTTAATATGCTCAGGTTTTAAAAGGGAATTCATATTTTGAACTGTAATGAGTTTGTAATGTAATTTTAACGACTTTTTTCTTAATTTTTAAAATTAATTATATTTTTTCTTTCATATTTTATTTAAGTGAGAAGTTTATGTTAATTTTATTTAATTCAAACGTATAAATGAATACTTAATATGCTCAGGTTTTAAAAGGGAATTCATATTTTGAGCTGTAATGAGTTTGTAATGTAATTTTAACGACTTTTTTCTTAATTTTTAAAATTAATTATTGTTTTATTTTCAGTTGAAATAAATGTGTATTCTTGCTTTCATATAAATCGTTAAGTTTTGGTCTACTCTTAGTGTTTGTTGTTGTTCAGCAGCTCAGTCTGTTATTATTCAGCACATAGCGCCTCTAGCGGCCAGTCTATGAATTGTGTTCTTGTTTTAGTTCGAACACTAGATGGCAGTAAGTCACTCAAAGCCGGATGTCAACCATCGTTCCACCATCGAAGAAGAAGAGCAGCAGTGTTGTCTTCCGGCTCTGGGATTCACGTGGACGAGCAGCAGCGTGAGTTAGCTCCTGAAGCTAACAGGAACCCGATTAAAAACACAAACATGACGCAGCTGGACGGTGTGGTGTAAGTTTGACTTTAAATTATTCATTCAAATGACTTGATTTATTTTTATCTATGAAAGCAGAAATGTTAAAGCTCGAAGTTTTGCGTAACGTGACAGATTTGAGTTAGCTCCCAGTTAGCCTGATGCTTGTAGAGACTTTATAATCTTTATTATTTTAAATGTAAAGTTTCCATTAACATGATGGTTTTTATGGACTGGGATTACTGGTGTGAGGTAGTTTGAGTGCCACATGATGACAAGTTGATGTTTTCTGTCTTTGACGTTGACACACAAACATGAAAACAGTTTGTCAGACTAGGAGGTTCAATGTGTTTAAATGATGTGTTTGTTAATGAGTCTGTGTATTTGGGAGGGACAGATGCAGTGTACATCCACAGCATTTAAAGCTGCTGCTTATTTCTAATACCCGTCTCTGAAAGGCCTTCAATATCTATGTATCTCAACTCTATAGAGCATGCTTACAGATAATCTGTGTTAGAAATGGTTGAAAGTTATAAGAAGTTGCCAGCATCCACATAGACACAAACCGCACACTAATGCTTATACACACCTACACACACACACACACACACACATATACACCCCACTCTCCCTCCACCCACCCCTACACATGAATACATGGTGAATGGACTTGAGCTTGTATATTTCTTTTCTCGTCTTCTGACTACTCAAAGCTCTTTTACACAGCAGGTCACACCTACACATTCACACCCTGATGGTAGAGGCTGCTGAGTAAAGAGATGATCAGTGTTAATCCATTCATACACATTCATACACCACCAACAAAGCAAAAGGAGCAACTTGGGGTTAAGCGTCTTGTCCAAGGACACATCTGACGTGTGGCTGCAGGAGCTGGGGATTGAACCCCTGATGATCGAGTACCACTGACATGTTAGCTCTCTTTATCTCAAAGAGGACGTCGGGTACTCCTGTGTGGTACTTTACAGTTCCCTGCTGTGGACGTCCCGGTTAAAGATCCAGGAGACTGTAAGGGTCGCACCATGTCGGTGCTGCTGGGACCTTACAGGCTGTTCGTCTGACACATATAACATCTCATCCTGTGTTTGTGTCTGCCTTTCAGGAAACCCAAGACGAAGCGCTCCAAGCGTTTCTTGGACAGCAGAGCGCCAAAACTGTCTGAGGATGTGAAGACGGCCATGATAATGAAAGGAGGGAACAGCAACCAAACTGTCACCCAGGCCCTCAAAGACATCGTAAGCTACATGAGGAAACGCTTTGAGGAAGGGATGAGGGCTGTTCCACATGATATAAAACCCTGATCTGTCTTCAGTATATAAAAATATATCCAAATCTGTCTTCATGTTCAGAGAAGTCCACAACGTACACTTTGTTTACAGCTGTGCAGCTCTTTTAACACTCCTACTAGCTGCTGTACGGTGAAAAGTAAAGACCCATGAGTCTCTCCGCCCCCCTCTGCTTGTCACTCGTTGACATTAATTGAAGAGTCAGTCCAGCGCTCCACAAGCTTTACTTACTGAACAGTGTACCACCGTTAGCTTTAAATACACCACGATGACCTCATCGCGGAGAATAGGTTGTAATCCATTTTAAAAAGATGTTTCAGGGCTAAACTCAGATCATAGAGGAGTGTATCAGTGTGTGACTGATCATTGATGAACACTCAATTATTAACGAGAAATCTTCTTTGTTTTTTCTGCAGTATGCCCTGAAGAAGCCCAACGCTGTTCTCTACAAGAAGTAAGTGTTTTCTGTCCTAAGTGATGTGCTTTATGTTTATTTTTTTTATTTTTAATTCATGCTGAAGTGAAATCATCTTCACTTTACGGACAGTTTGAAGAACTCTTCTGTGTTTATGAAGTTGACCTCCATACCTCAGCTGAACTCGACAGGACTGTGGTGTTTATAGAAAAGTTGATTAGACCACATGAAAAGTAAAAAAACTCCTGAATGTAGCTCAACAGACGAGAACATCGATCATAGTGAAACTAAAATAAATGATCATCGGTGATGTATGGAACCGTCTGAGTCGTCTCACTGTTAAGGGGTCAAAGTTGAGGTACTATCACCATGGGGGCATCGGGTCAGGATGCAGGACTCCAACAAGACTTGATTTTAGCTAACAGGTTTATTTCGTCAAATTAATTAATGATGAGGGTAACAGGAGACACACATGGGATTGAACATCCATGCATTGCTGAACTGCCGCCTCACGTGAGGATAAAAACAGTCTTAACTAAGGAGTAGGCAGGTGAAATCAATCTAATTAATTAGTGACAGAGTGCAAACAACAACCAATCAAGGGGGAGAGGAGAGTGAGAAACCAGGAAGTGTATTAAAGGAGGTGCAGTAGGAAAAGAGAGGAAGTGAAAGGAAACAAATAGTGATCTTTAGTACACTCACGGTCTGATTCAGGTTCATTTGGTTTATTCATCAGGGACAGCGTGCAAAGACATCCATCATTTATACAAAAAAAAACTGAGAAGCTGGTCGCACCACATTTAACGAGTAGTCCCACATAAAAGTGACACAAGACGTAAAAGAATAAGGACGGTAAAGAAACTCACCTGGCAACACGACGTACTGAAACTTCTGTTTTTGTTTTTCAGGAAGAACATAACGCGACCTTTTGAAGACTCGACGTCACTGGTAAGAGAAGGAGACGTTTGTTATCTTTGTGTTTGATTCAGTGTTGTCATGAGTCTGTAAATGAAGAAGTGACTCAGCTCTCTGAACACTTAACAGCAGCTTCCCTCTGTCTGCAGCTTATTAATGAAGCGTGTGTGAATGTAACACTGACTCATGTTCAGAGCTTCAGATCAGCTGGAGGTCTGAACGTGTTTCTCAGTTGTGTTTTTTTGTTAACCATTCAAACTGTTTTTTTCAGGAGTTTTTCTCCAAGAAGACGGACTGCTCTCTGTTCCTGTTCGGCTCGCACAACAAGAAACGACCCAACAACCTCATATTTGGTAAAAATCTCTTCTCACTCTATCATTTTCTCCGATTCACTGACTGCTGTTGTTATTAAATATTTCTACTGAAACATGTCTTAAACATGAACTCTGCACATGTTTGATTCATGCAGTGAGGACATTTTCTGTTAACTCGAAGCAGAAACTACATTTAAGCCCCCTTCAGGCGTCATTTTAAGACACAATATTAACGCCCCTGTGACGCTTTGCCTTCAATCTGAATGTTGTGGAGGTGTAATGGAGGGACAGCGAGGGAGCACAGCACTCTGTGTGTGTGTGTGTGTGTGTGTGTGTGTGTGTGTGTGTGGTGTGTGTGTGTGTGTGTGTGTGTGTGTCTTTGTGTGTGTGTGTGTCTTTGTGTGTATGTGGAGCTCCAGCTGTGCCGTGCTTCCACAACGCAGAAACTCAACATGACCTCACAGACTGGGACAAGAATATTAACGCCTTCTCTGAATCAAAATGAACGTACACAGACGAGATGATGGCTGAGCTTCGTTTCAGCGTCTTCACAGAAATGCAGTCTGAAGAGAGCGTGTTCTCACTCTCAGAATACATTACGAGGGTCGTGTTTGTTGTAAACATGAATGTGTTTGCTAGTGTGTCATTTTTTTTTTTACCTTGTAGGTCGTCTCTTTGACTTTCACGTGCTCGATATGGTGGAACTTGGAATTGAGAAATACGTGTCTTTGAGTGACATTAAGGTAAGTTATTAAGTCATTAAACCTGTTTTGTAGTTTTGTGTAATTTTGATGACGATCTCAAAGTGACGCAGCCTCTGGTACCACCATCATTCAGAGCTGACCTTTGACCTTCAAACTGATGCTGTAGGGTTAGTCTTTTATGAAAATGTTTTATTGAATCTGTTTAAACACTCATGGTCACGCAGCACCTTTTATAAAGTTAATCATCGCAGTCATCCGTTGTCCAAGGAGACAAAAAGTCTCGTGGTGTTTTCACATCAGACACGATTGTTTAGTACCGTGCATGATTGCTCCCCCCATCCCCGCTGGTCTGTGTGTGTATGTACACAGTCTGATGCAGCAGGGGGCAGTATGCACATAGTGGGTTTGCATATCCGCAAAGTAGAAAGAAGAATAAGCAACCATAGCAACTACTCGCAGGCTGAGTCCATTCTGCTAACTGTGGATGTTTCTGTGATTTCTGAGATGCCAACAAGGACACTCTTCCTACATCAACATGCACCGTGCAGCTCAGACGATGAAACAGGCCCGTGCAGCGTGTATACAACGTTTTTTTTTTTTTTTAGCAACATGAGCAATTTAGAATTACGTCATATAGCGGCCCACTTCTTTGTTTGCTTCTCCCACGGACTGTACTCGAGTACATTACCTTTGTGTTCACACTGATTAAATGAACCAGACTTTGGGGTCAAGTGTATTCTGATCCGGGCCCAGGTACCTAAAGTGAAACCACCTTAAAGAATGAATCTGTCCCTCCTGTCTCAGCCTTCTTAAACCAACTGTGTTGCTTTTTCATCCGTTTTTATCTCTTGTATTATTATTTTTTATTGGGACTTTGTGTCTTCTAATGTTGTGTGCTGATTGTTGGCTGGATGTTTTTACTGCTGACTGAAGGACACGTTGCCCCATCATCCTGTTTCATGAATGATGTGACTGTGTTGCAGCGTGCTGTAATAACTGTCCTGAAGGCTTTCTTTGTCTGTGAGCACATCTTCTGTCTGTTGTCCTGTGAATGAGGGAGCTCTGACAAACCCTCACAGAATCTCTTCATGTATTTGTGATCTTCTGCTACAGGCCAGTAAATGTCCTGAGGGGACCAAACCGATGCTGGTGTTTGCAGGGGAGGCTTTCGATATGGACAACGAACACAAACGCTTGAAGAGTCTGCTCATAGGTATCTGTTCATATGATACAGTTACATGTTTTTCTCATTTTAGTTTGGGTTCCTTTTCTCATAGCACACGCTCATATGTCTCATTGATCCATCTTTCAGACTTCTTCAGAGGGCCCACGGTGTCTGCGGTGCGTCTGGCGGGATTAGAACATGTCCTCCACTTTACGGCCCTGGAAGGGAAAGTCTACATGCGCAGCTACAGGTAGATATAAAAAAAAAGGTTCAGATATGATGTGTGTGTGTGGGAGCCGGATAGCCTAGTGGTTGTGTAGTGCACTGCACGTACAGAGGCTGAAGACCTGCCTCAAAAGGAGAAATTGATCGGATGTGTTTGTGCAGGTGTCTGCTGAAAAAGTCTGGGTGTCGGACGCCAAGGATTGAGCTGGAAGAGATCGGGCCCTCATTGGATTTGGTGTTAAGAAGGACTCACCTGGCTTCAGACGACTTGTACAAGTTAGCTCACAGACGGCCCAAGGCTCTGAAGGTAATCATACACTTAGTTTACATTTTTAAGTCACTTTGTACTTAATAAAACGTCAGACTTGACCTGAGGGGGGAGCTTGAGGACAGCCCAGATTTAAAGAGTGGAACCTCTGCATAGCCGTTTATTGACAACATCTCGTTAATACAAAGAACCACACTGTTTGTCCACCTTCAAAATGGAAGCACCAGAGGATCTTATAATGTTTGCAAGGGGAAAAGGAAATTCACAGAGCCAAGAGTGAAATATTTAACGGATATATTGTGGCGACCATAAATATACCTCGGCGGACTAGCCAGGTATCGTCTGCTTGTGGGAAACACTGTTAGTGCGTCGTTGAGCCCTCACTTTGTCCCCACACCAAGAAAACCTAAAAGTGATGAAAGGCTTTCTAACGTCCTTTTTGTGTTTAGAGACCAACTTATAATTTAGCCTTTACCTGATGCCTCTCTCTCTTTTTTTTTACCATAACAGATCAGGAAGAAGAAGAATGTTTCCCATGATGCCTTTGGCACGAAGTTTGGCCGTGTGCACATGCAGAAGCAGGATCTGACCAAGCTGCAAACGAGGAAGATGAAGGGTCTGAGGAAGAGGAGGGGAGCAGTGGTCTCTGACGACCAGGAGGGAGGGGCGGCCAAAGCGGCCAAAGTCGACGTCTGAGGGTCACTTTGTCTTTTTCTTCTTCCTGTCCGTACACATTTAATGTTCAGCTCCGGTGCTGGACGGTAACCATGATTTAAAGACTGAGCGTAAAGCTGAGCAGTAAGGAGGACGTTTATCTGCTTCCTCTGGCCGTATCTTCTCTTCCCCGTGTGACTCTCAGCTGATTCTGTGTCCCGCCCGTCATCAATGTGTCGTCTCAATGCTCTGATTAAAACCTAGATTAGGTCCATCAAATGTAATCTACATGTACAGGGGAAGTCTGCCTGATAAGAGATCAATTCAAGGCAGGGTCAGTGGGTTTGTCTGTGACCTGAAATGTGTGAGGTTTTCTTTACTGAAGAGAAATCGGACTGTGTCGAGCTGTCCGGATCTGTAACTTTTATTAAAATCTGAGCTCATTGTGTCCATGTCGATCATGACTTTTGATTATGAATTAATGTAAGAGACTTTATTGTAAAACCAGAATTTAAAATAAGATCATAAAAACAAAGTAACAAAGCCCCAAAAGGAGAAGTTTTCTTCTAGAAGTTGATAAATTATTCCAACAAATTCTTGCATTTATTTATAACTAATCTACAAACAAGTAGCCTCAGTTTATCCATCACTTAAAATAACAACCCCAGTGTTTTTACAATCCTAATATTCTCCCAGTGTAACAAAATAAACGGGAACACCTCTAAAACACGGTCCTCTTGACCTGCCAAACAATATTTATCTGAGTGCTTTCTTTCAGCGCCTCACCCCAAAACCCAGTCCACAAGTCCACCCTGCACTCTGAGATCCTCACTCTTTTTAAACCTAGCACACATGTTAGGATGTTTTTTTAATCTGAGGTTTTCCTCCGTTTAGAAAAAGAATCTTGTCAACACACGCTCAGTTTTCAAAAACATCTTTGTACACATGAAAATAAAAAATGGCCCGTCACTGAGAATGCCAAGCCGACAAAGTTGTCCTTGACATGCGAACATTTTTCTCGACCCACCACCTGAGGTCCGACCAGTAGAGGTGGGGAAAAAAAAAGATTATATACCAACTAGTAGCACACTGGCTGCCAATTAGTCATAATGAAGTGCTTCTTAGTACCTTATTCTACATGACCATAGTCTATAGCTAATAGGCCTTTAACTAAAGCCTGCTCACACTGTACGATTTATCCCCGATTGTATAAAAGTCGGGGTGGCGTGTCTGCTCGCAATGTTCGACTGAATCGTTTACGACACCCGACCAGACTTTGAGATTTATTTGTTCACACTGTACAACTCAATTTTCGGGAACGGCCGGAGAGCTCACACTGTGCGAGTGAAATCGGGACGGAGCATTGACAATTGTTAATGAAGTTTCGTTTGAAAACTCCAAAGGACAGCGGTTGGTGTAACAGAAGGAAGTGGAAGTTGTTGTAGGATATAGAAAAGTAGATAAAATTGTAGATATATGGATACAAGTGCTGCACTGGTCGCCATGACTACAGTCCTCCCTCGTTTCTTGTGATTATATTGTAGTCATACGACTTCTGACGGAACCTTTCATGTCGTAATCGTCAAGATTTTAAATTCTAAATATCAAACATGTTTGAAATAAATCGGGGCGTCCCCGACGATCGCCGGGCAGATCAGGGACGTTAAGATTGGATCTTTGTACCGCTCACACTACAAGATAATCCGAACAGAGAATTGGGTCCGGGCAGCCTTGAGTCGGGAGCGACCCTGAGATTGTCAGGAAGGAAGAATCGGAGCTCAAATTATCCTGCAGTGTGAGTCAGGCTTTAGAGTTTACCCTCACTCCCGTCTTTACTGCTTATTTATAGTAAGTTACTAAATTGTTGTACATGAATTATAATCTTAATATTCTTTTGCTTCTACTTTATAAGGGCCATACCAAGCACAGCATATTCATCTTTCATTCAGCTTCAATCAAGAAGTAGTTCCAGTGTGGCGCTGAAAAGTCTGCAAACGGACGTGTTTGCACCTCGCAGCTCCACTGTTGGTTGGAAGAGCTGTCGTCTCTCAACCAGAAGGGAGAGGGGTTCGATCTCCAGCTCCTACAGCTCTTCTGTCCGATGTGTCCTTAGATACTAAATCCAAGAAAAGATGTTAGGCGAACACATAAAGGACTTCGGGAAAGGTGATCTTGTTGCTCTGACAATCCGACCACATTTCCACTAGGCCACATCATTAAATGCGACGGGCCGGCGGAGGTTAATGACGTGGGTCTGCCGTGTTGAAACTACAATGTTCAGAAAATGGATTACTAAAAGCGCATCTAAAAAACTTTCCCCCGTGCCTTCTTACCAGTGAAATAATCTAATTACTACAAGGTTGGGATTGAAATAAAAGACATATAGACCACCAGGCTACAAGTAACAAAAGTGAAACCATCAGCTTCCTGTCCAATCAGAAATCAACATCAAAATAAATATGATTGTATGAAATGAATTGTTACATTAATATAAGATATAACCTACACATAATGTTTGAAGCATACAAATGTACAACTGCACAGCATTCTTTTTTTTATAAAAAAGATTTATTTTGGGCTTTTAACTCAGAGGGAGGACAGTGGACAGAGTCAGAAACCAGGGAGAGAGAGCGGGGAATGACATGCAGAAAGGGGCCACGAGTGGAAGTGAACCGCTTGAGATGAGAGTCTCAACACATGGGACGCGCGCCCTACCACTGCGCCACCAGCGCACCCTACACGGCATTCTTAAGAGAATGAAATACGTTGAATCAAACATCATCTGATAAAAATGTCTCTTATCTTTTTATCTCTTACATGATCTGTGTCACTTTACGATCATCGTTAATGTTCGTGAACGGTCAGATGCGCGACTCGCTTTAAATGTTGCGGCCGCAAGGAATTGTGGGGCGGCATATCTCATCTCCTTTGGTAAAGGATGGTCCAGTGTATCCTAGGCTAAAGGAGGTTATAAAGGAAGCATTGACCCACCTTTCCTTAACTTTTAGAGAATTTGAACGGCTCTTATCATGGCCACCACTTAAATGCTTCCGGGTCATTTCACTCAGTCAGGAACCTTACTAAGCAAAAATAACAAAATTGAACGCACCCCAAAGTTGCTTCGTCGGGGGAGTGAGAATTTAGTTATTTCTGATGGTCTCTTTCAACAGCAGCCTCTACCATCAGTGTGTGAATGTGTAGGTGTGACCTGCGGTGTGAAAGCACTTTGATTGGTGTTATGACCAGCTCGTGTAGGCCCTAACATTCAATGGAAGTCCACACAGTCAACTTGCTTCTAAAGTCTAGTTTATTTCAAAACAACACAAAAATACAAGGGCAGAGGGAAATTAGTCTATGCTGTCCAGAGGAAGAGACAGAAAGCTGTGGCAGCCTGGCTTATATGCCCTTTCACTCAGGTGAAGCCCATCTGCAATCATCAGGTAGGTGGGCGGGTCTCCCAACAACCAGCAGGCATGCCACCAGATGATGCCAAACCCTGAAACACAAAACAACAGTACCAGGCAAAACACCATGGCCAGGGCCGTCACATTGGTAAGAAGACTAGAAAATAAATGTACAAGCTCAAATGATTTAATTAGGTTGGTATTTTATGAACATTCAGTGACATAAATGTTTTACTGATTGCTGTAGAACAGGGGTTCCCAAACTTTTCATCCCGCGAGCCCCAAAATAACGATGAGAGACCGGGGACCCCCTCTGTCCCTAGAAGTGGTTAAAGCTTAACGCTGCACACAGCAGCACGCACTAATGGACCTATCCAAACACTGACATTAGAACGATAAAAATACAGCAGCCTTGAACTAATTGAACAACATTTTTGTATGTCATTTCACAATAAAGGGTAAAATATGTCATTTCAAGTCATTTCCAGTTTGTATTTGTTTTTGGAAGGAATCTCGCGACCCCCCTACCAGTGTCTCGCGACCCTCCAGGGGGTCCCGACCCCCACTTTGCGAACCACTGCTATAGAAGACACATTTTTGATTGGTGATTGGTCTAAACTTTATGCTTCAAAAAATACAAATGTTTTAAAATACTGTATAAAGCCAAACTCTGAATCAACCTCGATCAAATTCAATCGGGGTACGAGTGTCGTGGTGTTAGCTTTTGATACATTTGGTGTCACTTTGTGTGTTTCCCCTCCTTCTGTTTTCTCTCTTGCAGTGTGTGCAGTGGAAAGCGTGGGTGGCTGAGCTGGAACGAAGAGCACCTGAATCTTGTCAGGTCATCACTCAGGCCTTAAAGACAGATCGAGACTCAACTCCTGTGCGAGATTATTCCTTTTACAGTCTTTAACTGTGTCACACTACTAGCCTTACCTAGAAGAACTTTGAATGTGATTTTTGTTCTTGTGTCATGGACTGACCTGTTTTCTCTTGTTGTGTTCAGCCTGCCGGTGAGCCTCACCGCCTTGTTTTGGATTTCTGTTTGGCCTTGCTGTTTTTGTGTTCTCCTGCGCCAGCCCGTCCTCTATTGCCACCAACTGCCTTAAGCCTTTTATTTCACTACAAGCTACATTAAAACATCTTAAGACTGACTTTTGTTTCCGTGTTCTGCATTCTGGGGTCCAAACCCTAAAACTCCAACATAACAAAGAGTTGTTGAGAAAACAGACACAAGCTGATAAAATCACTTTGTTCAAATGAAATAATGTCTCAGTGTATTATTCTACCTGCCAAATGTGCAAAATTCTTCCTGTTAACTGAAACCAGTCGAGCACATGAGCTGGAAGCAGAGTTTGACCCTTAAGTGTCTGACAACAGATTTAACGGCTGGATATTTTGTTTAGCATCACTTAATAAAAACCTCTCGTGTTTAAATGTATTGTATTACGTTGTCTTTTGTCTGGGCCGAGTGTTTGAATAAAGGTTGAAATAAGTGAAACTGAAATGAAGGAGATCCCAAAGGGGCATCTGTTAATGGAATCAAAACATGAAATACTATTTGATCTTCAAACTGGTTCTAGATTTCATGAACTTGGGGTGTGCTGGTACTTTAAAGATCATGTTAAATATAAATGAGGAAGTAAGCCCAAAAAAATGTCTATTTGTTATTCTTTTTTTCTGCTGAAAACAAATAAAACAATAAAAGTTAAAAATGTTTTTAATATATGTATCGTTTTTTTATCATGGAGCGGTCAATTTGTGTGTGAAAGTTGACTTTGATCCTCTCTGTATTGTTTATAAAGAAACTACACTTTGGAGATGAGTCTGTAAAAACTTGTGTGTACAAAATGGCCGTGCAACATTCTATGGTTGCCATGTTTCCCCTTAAAGTGCATCATTCATATCAGATCATCATTTCAACTCAAACTAAATCTCAGACAGTTGAATTCTCCATTTCCTCTGAAAATCACGCTCAAACTGCAGATTTTTTCCACGCTAAGGACAAAAGATTTTCTGAAACTGACACAAAACAAACATCCAACTTGTGTC